TGAAGCCAAGGTCTTTACTACATTGATGATGATTGATGCCCTTCTGAGCCCTGACAGCAACATTGTCAAATGTCTTCGGAAAGAAAGTGTCCTGTCCAGAGTGATTCCCAGGTACTTCAACTCATGCGGTCTATCTATGAGAAAGTGGTCAAACACAATAGGAGGGGTAGGATCTTTCACAATACGGTTGTTGAGTGAGCACCAGATGACCTGTGCTTTGTCTGGATTGATGAACGCATTGTATTCCTCACACAAATCTGCGACCTTGCTCTTCCTGTCCAGTAGCATCCGTCCAACCGCTAGCCTGTCACGATCTTGTCCGTCGACCATCACATCATCTGCAAAGGTTGGGATTCTTCCTGCTCCACTTACACCGATCATGGCAATTTTGGTTGAACAGAACCGGTGATTCTAAATTTAATTTGCCTTCTGACACACAGTCTCATTGGCCATCTAGGTAGCAAAGTCTTTCACTGTGGTCATCGTCGAGACACACCGAAATATAGCAATTAGAAACATCTATCGAGAGATATCAGATCGAATCCGTCTTGATAACCACGTGTTAGAAAAGTTTGCTATCTAGAGGGGAGTGGGGTAAGGAAGTCCAATATCAACCAAGTTTTTAAAATTCCTTTTTCTCTTTTTGTGTGTTTTACGGCGCTTGACACTGCATAAGGTCATATGAGCGCGCGGCAGCTGGTAGGAAATTTTGAATTTTGCCCGTGTGGCGGCCGAAGCCTACTCTTCGATCTTGGATCACCAAGGGATTTTTAACGTGCGCAACTTGCACACGGGACCTCTGACATTTTTCGCCCTTATCCGAGAAGGCTATATAATGTGTTAGATCTTACCTACCAGGAGATTGCAGGGATGTGGCTGACTGACACTAGTAAATAAAAGGATCCCAGGAGTAGCAGTAGAAAGACTGCAGAAAGAGTTACGAGCCTAGAGGAGGGGGCAAGAGGGAGGGCAGAAACTGGAGACGAAAGCAGACGACAGAGCATTGTTAGTGAGCAGGAAAGGAGGTGAAAGGAGACAATTTTGGATAAGAACATTTTTCGTCACTGTCCGGATTCAAACCCGGAACCTATTGATTAAGAACCTGATCTCGACCGCAAGACGACCCCCCCCCCTTTCCTCTCCCCTAGGTATTCACAGTACAGCAGCGATCGTAGAAATATACTAAAAACAACCTGCCCCTGTAAAAGAATTTGGACAGATGGAGACCACCTGAAAGATCTGTGATTCGCCAATGATGTGACACTTTGCGCCAAAAGTGGACAACAAATAAAAATCAGCCTCAATGTCATTAATGAAGAGAGCAATAAAGTGAGCTTTAAAATCCACGAAGATGAACATTGTGCCTATTCTGACAAACTGCACTAGCAACAAAATAGTTGCTTTAGAAAACAAGAAAATTGCAAAAGTGACAGAATATAACATGAATTACTTGGGCCAAACAATAAGTATAGAGGAGAAACTCAAAACTGAGAAGAGCAGAATGCACGCGATTTGGAGTTGCTTTGAAATACAGGGAAATAAATGTCATAATATTATACAGATCAAAATCACGAAAAAGATAAATTTTTCACCAGTGTCGTCTCTCAGTAAACTAATATTACTAATAAGCTGTGGGTGTGAGACCTGACTATTTATAAGAAGTATCATTTTAAAAGATAAGGACAACACAGAGAGCAATGGAAAAGAAATGATGAGTACAAGAATACAAACTCAAATAAATCACACAAAAATACGAAAGAAAGCAGGAATGGCAGATATTCCCTAAATTTATACTGCAACAAAAATGGACAGGGGCAGGTTAATCAGTAGAATAAAAGATAACAGATGGACCAAAAGAAGCATTGATATGAGCCAGAAATAAAAAATGGCAAGATAACATCAAAGAGCGGATGAGAACAACCCGCAATACACAGAACTGATAACACTGAGAGGAGGTTATTGTTGGGGGGAGATACATCCTGCAGTGGACGGACGATTAGGAAAGATAGCACACTTTGAATTTGAAAGAAATAAATACGACCGAAATATAACCTAAGTACATCAACTGTTGCAGTTGAACTTAAAAATTATAGAAAGATAATTTGATTTTTAGTATACCTCTCCTGGGTACGGCAGAATAAGGAAAGAGTTTTACGTTTAAATAGTTCACGCTGGCGAGATAGATTTACTAATTGTGCAAATAGAATCAAATTGTTTTCCATTTAAAAGAAAATATTCAAAGTAATACGTAATAATTGGGACGCTTAGATTTAAATGCATATGATTTCTAGTTGTAAGTGTCCAATGTCAATAATGATAGTTTGATAGATTTTATTAATCTCTTTATGCCATTTAGTTTGGCAGTTAGACAAAGATCAAACATAAATTGGCCCACCACAAAGACGCACTATAGAGGATAATGGATGCGCACACAAAGACAAGAACAGGAGAGGTTGGAGGCAGCGATCAATGAAAGTGGGGCGGTAGAACGTGTACAGAAAAGGGATAGTCCCTCCCCTGATCCTGACTATAAAAAATTGTCAAAGACAGGAAATAGAGTTTTCCTTTGGGTTTTCACCTCATTCTAATATCATTATTTCCTTGTAAGTTTCCTTCTAATGTGTTGGCCCCCAATAATTTATATACACTCTATGTTTTCTTTTAATTTAGTGAACACCTGATTTCTGCAGCAAGTGTGGCCCAAAACCAAGGAGGTGAGATGGTAAAACTTGATCTACAGTATCTTTACAAATAATAGTGGTGATAGTTTAGCGCCTCGCCCAAAAAAACCCATGGACTAAAAGCATAGTGGGGACTTTGTCGCCGAGACCATATTCTTCTTCACAAAAAGAGCGAATCGACCTCTCACTTTTCAGAATTAAATGGTGCGTGACGAAGTCTTACACTAAGTGGTCGAAAGGAATTTGCCTGTGAAAAAAAACGAACATAAATTAAGTCTCCGCTGGTGATATAGTTGCGTTTGCTGTGGCTCCTGATTCTGAATAAGCAGTTCTTTAATATAATTTTATTTGCCCAATGCCCTGAGGATTTTACTTCTTTGATTGGGTTAATTTTAACTGTCTGGTTCAGGACCACACTCAATTCGCCGAAAGACTCAATTATTGAAAGGTTGGTTATCATCATGAGGTTTATTTATTAACTAATTTAACTTTTTATCAACATTTATCTAAAGTAATTGGGATTTTTTTAAAGCTGTAGAGAGAGAAAGAGACGCGAGTTTGAGCTTTTGAAGTGTAGGCCCTACAGAGACAGAGGGAGGAAGGGATAGAGGGAGGGATAGAGAGTGAGAAATAGATAGCTAGATAGATAGCTAGATAAATAGATAGATAGCTAGATAGATAGATAGATAGATAGATAGATAGAGAGAGAGAGAGAGAGGGAGAGGGAGAGAGAGAGAGAGAGAGAGAGAGAGGGAGTATTTATTATAGTCTTGGGTTTGAGATACAGGGTGATCCAAAAATTAATTTACCTCTTTTTTTCTGAATATCTCGCTCAAAATTGTTCTAGAATGCTGTAATTTGGAACAGACCAAATTCGTTCAAAAGGAATTTGTTTGATATAAAATTCACGAAGAGGAAACATGTTTTGAAAACGGAAACGGCTAAAGACTAAAAGACAAAAAGGACCAAAAAACCCCCCGCAAAGTTCACCAATGTTTAAAAATCTTGTAAAGGAAGTCGTGAAAAGATTAGTTGACCTTTTTCTTTATTTTCTCTTTGACATTGATTTTCCATCCCTGTGACATTTAAACAATATTTAATTTTTTTTTACAGAGTTTTAAAAACATAATGATTTCATTCTGAAATTCCAAGAAACAGTGCTCCACATTCCCTCCTTTGGACTCGACACATTTTTAACGCGTCGTTCGAAATGTTCAGTTGCGCCCTAACACAAGGACCTGCTAAACCGCGAGTCTTTAAAGCCATAAACACTGTACATGTTCACTAAAAAGTGGCTTCTAGAGACAATAGAGTGGGGTGCCCAGTAGACAGCATTTTTGGAGCTAACATGTCCCGCAGGGTGAAAATGGGCTTTGCACTTAACTAAATGTCATCGAGGAAATAATCCCTCTTTACAAGACAATCGAGGAATCATGAACACATTGCCATGCTGTGATCCATGTCATCCTGGCCTAGCGAAGATGAACATGGTATAGTCGTAGGTTAAGATCTGCCATGCGAATGCAGACTGTAGATGTGTAGGAAAGTCCTAGCTGCAGATCGTCTACGGACAGACGTCTCATGGGACTCGGCTACTGAAATCTGCACTCTGGTGACGTTTAAAAGGCTGTGCATGGTGCGTATTCGACCTGAAGTGGTCATTTTTTAAAGAACTTTTTAGTTCTGATTCTCTACTCATGAAGCCAAAGGTTTTGAGGGCACCTCTCCATGCCGTGCGCAGAACTTACGAAATGTCAGAGATGGTGAGTTTGTGGAGAGGTAATGTTCAATACAAAAAGCTCTCTCCTCTTTACTAAACGTAGCCATGATCTCAGCAGGCAAACAAAATTTGGGAAAAATAATATCTGCAGACTTCTGTAGACTTGTTAGACTGCGGTAGCTTGCAATATGGCGCGATTGTTGCAACTTTTAGTGGTAGGCCTAATGCGAACTGGTGCGTCATGCTATGAAAATGGTGACAAGGTTGAAAATGGGTTGTTTTTTAATGCACTATATAGAGCAAAACCATTCAATGGACTTATCTAAAATACATATAAGAAAAATTCCCTTTGGCTTCCAAACGTTATGTTCAAATCTGAAACGCAAGACTTCAGTATGGGGGAAGATATTTACAAAACAAGTTGTATAGCTGTTTTTTTGGATCATCCTGTAATTAAAATTTGGTTTTTATTTGTGGTTGGGTTTTTAATATTATTTTGCGGTGTATTTTGGCTGTATTTTTCATTATGTGATAAGCTGGTATCAATTATTCTGATCTAATGTATATCTCGAACAGTACAACCTTCGAACAGAAACACAATGACGGTATCGAACGCAACCGCTTCCTCTGTCCAGCTCACGACTGCAGCATTACTCTCCTTAGACAGAGAGCTGACTGGAATCGTCGGCCATGAGGCCCGGGAGTGGTTCAAGACCATCGTAGAGGTTTGGATCTGCTCCATCCTCTCGGCGCTAGGTGTGGCCACGAATGTATTGGTCATCGCCGTGTTCACCAGACAGCGCTTCAGAGACAACATCTCCATCTCGATGACGGCAATAGCTGTTTGGGATTTACTCAAATGCGTCAGCGGCGTACTATGTCGGCTGTACTGGGCTATGGGCTTGGAGGACCCCGTGTTAGGAGAGATGTGGCTGGAGGTTCCGGCCATCTTACTGAGCTACTTACATAGCTTCATGGGGTTCGTATCATGCGCTCTAGCGGCCTACGTGTCCATGGAGCGCTGCTTGTGCGTAAGCATGCCCTTTAAGGTCAAGGACATATTCACACGACGGTTGACTTTGATCATGATGATTACCATTTCTATACTGGTCATGAGTTCATTTATGGTTATATTTCCTTTATGGGAAATCAAGCAGGTCTTTGACCTCGATCGTAATGCAAGCACGACCATTATGGTATTTAGCGATTTCCATAGTGATTTTGGCGTGCCCGTACTGCGGTACTACAACATTATCAGCGTATTGTGGCCGTTGCTAAGCTTTATCGTTATCGTTGTCAGCGCTGGAGTCATTTTATACAACTTGCAGAAATCATCAAAGTTCCGAGGCAAAAACGAAAACATGCAGGAAGATGGAATGTCCAAGAGGGATTTACAGGTCGTCAAAATGCTCATTGTCATCATCGCTGTCTATATCGTGAATTTGTTCCCACGAATTGCGCAGTATTTCGCCAGATTCTTCGAACCCCAATTTATCTCCGCATGCGATATCATAACCTTTTCATTGTGGTTATTACTATAGTTTTCATTTTTGACTTTGTCAACGCGTCTACCAATCTCTTTATCTTCATCTCCATGAGTACAAACTTCAGAAACACTTTCGTAGAAATGTTTGGTGGCTGGTGGATTGTAAAGGACATGAAAGCTTCTCTTCCAAATTAAACATTTAACTCTTTGAGGACGCGTATTCTAGTCATCCACGAAGATGTCAGTCAGATTCTAGTCAGTCACTCACGAAGATGCACTGCTTTAGGGCACTTAAAAAATTTTATGAATTCGATTTTCTTTATCTGAAACTGAGTAAGGCAGGCAACATGCATACAACGTACTATGAAATGTACAATTCCTGTTTCTGATTTGAGTACGTAGCCTTTGATCGGCTGTCAGTTGTGTACGCTATGTCTTTAAAAGAGTACAGTCGCGTGCATTTAATGTTCCGCGCAACTTACCTATCGGCGCAATCTGCGCGTGTTAACGATCGTATAACTGCGCAGCAATCTTAAGATTACGCAGAGCGTTTTAACGATTGTATAATTATATCATTCTTGTGAGCTCTTCAGTTTCATATCTTAACTTTCAATTTTAATTTTCATATTTTTACACTTTTGAAAATATATATGAATGTTCCTTGATGTAAGTAAAAGAATAAAGATGGAAGTGATTTTTAAAAAATATCTAAAATATATATAATAAATCAAATGTACTTTGTGAACTTTGAGTTTGATACCTGACATTGTATCATTCTTATGAGCTTTTCATTTTCATACGTTAATTTCAATTTTCTTATTTTTACGCTTTTGAAAATATATGTGAATGCTCCTTGGTGTGAATAAAAGAATAAAGATAGAAGCGCATTAACAGAATATTTTAAAATATTAAATGAATTAAATGTACTTTGTGAACTTTGAGTTTGATTCTTGGCATTGTATCATTCTTTGTGAGTGCTTCAGTTTCATACGTTAATTTTAATTCTATTTTCTATATTTTTGCACTTTTGAAAATATATGTGAATGTTCCACGATGCGAGTAAAAGAATAAAGATAGAAGTGAATTTTCTTTTTTTTTAGTGAGTTCAAAATATAAAATATTAACGCTTCATCAGATTGCCGCGCAATTATACAATCGTTAAAACGCGCAGCGCAAACTTAAGATTGCGCCGATCGGTAAATTACGAGGAGCACATTCATTGTCAACATAACGTTTTGATTTTTCTTGTGTATGTGTGTGTGTGCAGGGGCGAAGGCTGACTTGTTTGACAGGGTAATCAAAGTGAAATGGGACCAGATAGGGCCTGGAGATATCACACTCACACAAGTCACAAGAATCTTACTGGCACTGGAGGCGGCAACTCTGAGTTGTGAATGAAAACAAATCCTGAATTCATGTTGTATGCTTGTTCAACCGCTAAAATAATCGGGAAAGTATTTCATTAAATATTTATTCTAACTAAGCTTAAATTTAATTTTAGATTTGAACACACCAACACCAAGGAAAGAAGCACAGATGTCAGCACTACAATGGCATGTTATACCAGACAGCCGAAACACTTTGGTAGAACACGCCAATTATTAATTTTTTATTTCACATTTGGCTGTTTTTTGTCTAGCTTTTCGCGGCCAGGAGCCGCTGGCATAATCGAGGTCACGATCTGATTATAGGACGTTAAAAAGTCGAGGAAAAAAAACAAGCACTAGTAGTGTAGTAGCAGGAGTCAAAGGATTATTAGGAGTTAGTTCCCCTCACATCTGTGAGGTAGACTCGACCAGTGTAATAGTTCGCTTAGATAATCAGCGCGTCTGGGTGCTTATAACTGTGGCCCGAAAGGGGTGAACAGGGTATATGCGACAATGAAACAGTTCTGATTGCTATGCACATGTTCCCTTTAACTATATTGGTTGACTCTTCCAGCCTCACTTTAAGCTTACTTAATCAAAGCTTGTGACTGCTTATGGAGTGGCCCGATAGGGGCGAACAGGCTATTTTTGTGGCAATTAAACGGTTTTGAAGGTTAGGCATAGTCTATTGTTCATTGGTGATCATGAACGTCTTTTTACATTTAATTTATGAGGTTTACGTCTATGGGTGAATTTGACTGCGACAATGTTTCAAAATTAGGAAGGGAAGCAGTGATTATTTGATTATATAGACGCTTCGCCTCTGTGTGTGTGTGTGTTTATGTGTGTGTGTGTGTGTCTGTGTGTGTGTGTGTGTGTGTGTGTGTGTGTGTGTGTGTGTGTTTGTGTGCGTATGCGTGTGTATGTGTGTATAGGAGAGAGTGAGTGAGAGAGAGAGAGAGAGAGAGAGAGAGAGAGAGAGAGAGAGAGAGAGAGAGAGAGAGAGAGAGAGAGAGAGAGAGAGAGAGAGAGAACTATAGCACAAGTACATCTACATTATTAGAACTACGTGTCTCTGTAATATACATGATGACCCCCCCCCCCCTCCCCCACACAAACACACAAATACTTTCGCAACTTTTTTGTAAATATTTTACTCTACACTGAAGCTTTGCGTTTCAAATATGAACAGAATATTTAGAAACCAAATGAAAGATCCCACCCTAAACACAACAGACGTGACCCGTACTACATGCTAAATAGAGCAGACCAGGTCACAATCTTTCGACTCCGTTGTGGCCACAACAGACTCAAACACCATATGCACACTAAATTTAAAGTGGGAGAGTCCGAGATCTGTGAAAGTGGACACGACCAAGAGGATGCCAGCCATCCTTCAGCACTGCCCGCGCTACGCCACCCTTCGTACACAGACGTGGCAGAATGTGACTCCCTTTGAGAGAAAGCTCTTTCTGTCCCCGTGGTTTTATGCACCTCGCATAATTTAGCAAAATTTGATCATTTTTTGCATAATTTCTGATTATTTTCCTTTATCATTCTTTGTTGATATTAACAGAATCGTATAATTTCACATTTTTAGGCTCAGTTTGCATAATTTCATAATGTTTCTTGCATAAGACAACGGGGGCAGCTTATATATGGCAGTCTCTCAGATATGAAGCGGACTGCACAGTTTGTGCGCGACATCGGACTGACTGTCTAGCTGCTGTCATCGAGGACGAGGAAAAAGAAGAAAGAAAAAGAAACCAAAGGGAAAATTGGCTGATATTCAGTTTAGATAATTTCACAGATTAGTTTTGCGCTATATAGCTCTTAAGTAAGCAACCTTTTTTTTGCCTTGTCGCCATCTGTGTAGCATGACGCACGAGTTCGTATAGGGTCGCACCAATTGCGCCATATTGCAAGCTACAGCAGTCTGATAAGTCCATAGAAGTTTGCAGATATTGTGTTTCCCATGTTTCCTTTGCCTGCTGAGATTATGGTTAAGTTAAGCAGAGGGCAGAGAGCTTTATGCATTGAATATTACCTCACCTCTTTCTCATCGTCCCTGACGTTTTGTAAGTTTTACACATTAAGATACACAAAATGCTAAAGTGCTCTCAAGTCCTTCTTTGATATGTCATGGGTAGAGGTATTCCGTCAGTTTGGATCTACAGAGAGTTTAGACCAACATTTCGTAGAAAAAAGACAACTCTAGGCCAAGGACGCACCATTTGCACCCCTTTAAACGTCCCAAGGATGAATAATTCAGTGGTCGAACCCCATGAAGGGTCTGTTCGAAGACACTGCACTATGCCCCAACGGTCTACATTCTCAAAGCAGATTGATCTTCACCTGTGACCGGAACTTCACGGTGACATTAAAGATGGTTCCAATAGGGAATGGAATATAGAGGGTGCCCACGTCCCTCGTGACTCATTGGAGCAGAGGAAGATAGAATTAAAGCTAACATTACTTAAACGCAATCCCACATCATCACTCATCACCATCATTATTTCTAGAATCGTCATTACTCTCAGATCAATGACTTACATCTATAATCGTTGAACCTCTATCTGCAACAGTTACTTGTCATACTAAGTATGAACGTAATACACAATTAGACACTATCATGCGTCAATCTCATATAAATGGGCAAGGGATTAAACTTATTTTAAAAAATCGTTACCTTCGACAGTACCATTTTCATGTTCGCGAGGTTGAGATGGATCAGAAAATGGCAATGTGTATGTGGTTCCTCGATTGTCTTGAACAGCGTGAACATTTCATCGATGACGTTTTTTTTTTTTTTTTGCAGTGGCAAAACCAATTTTCACAATTCAGAATAATTACATTAAAAAAAGTCTACGAATGCTGATGGCACTTTAACATTATTTCCGTACCTTGTGCGAAACTTACAAAATGAGTTGGTGATGAGAAAATGTTCAATACAAACGCTCTCTGATCTTTACTAATCTTAACAATGCTCTCAGCAGGCAAAGGAAACTTGAGAAAAACTATCTGCAAACTTCTGTTAGCCTGTTAGACTACTATAATTTGCAATTTGGCGCAATCGTTGGGATTTTTAGTAGTAGGCCTAATGCGAACTAATGCGCGCTATGCTACGAAAATGGGGACATAGTTGAAAATGGGTAGTTTTTTTACGCGCTATGTAGAGCTAAACTGTTCTGTGGATTTATCTAAATTGAATATCAGACAAATTCCTGCTGACTTCCAAATGTTGTGTACAATTTTGAAAAACAAAAGTTCAGGGTGGAGGAAAACATTCATTTAAGAAGTTGTGCCGTTTTTTGTTGTTGTTGTTGTTGTTGTTGGGTTGTTGTTGTTGTTTTTTTTTTTGGGGGGGGGTCACCCCGTAGATTCATGGTTACAAAGTACGATAAAATTGCTATTACAATAGTATTCATCAACATGCAACAATAGTATAAAACAATAACATATTAAACTTTATTGTTATACAGGCGGATGGTTAAAGGTCACAGCATTCGAGGTAGGCTACCCCAAGGCAATCATCCCACATAATAGATAACGGGCAGCGAAAAATTGTGCAGGTTTTAATCCTATTGTCAAAAAGATCGAGTGAGTTTTCCAAAACATGTTGGAAAATTGCGCAGGTATTTTCGGTGTCGAGTATTCCGTAGATTGCGCAGGTATTCGACGAGGTACCGACTTGAAATTCTATAAGTATACGTTTAAGTGGTAGATCTCTTCAGTTAGTCAATTATCAAGACTGTTATTTTAATTTCATTGTATATATATATA